CCCCCCACCCCACACAAGACACTCCAACCCAGTCCTGAAGCTGAGCAGGCCCTGGGCTCTCCCCACTAGCACTTGTGGGATTTGCGCAAACTCCCATGTTGATCCCTTCTCTGATGTGAGTCCCATGCAGGTGCCCTGGGAAGGGCTGGGCCATGCTCCCGGCCGGCAGCTGGGACCCAGAGGCAGGCACCATTCATCTGGACCCAGGCCAGCCCGCACCCCCGCCACAGCCATCGCCGCCAAGGGGCTGGTTCCCGGCCCCCTGGCTGGTGCCCTCTGCACAGGAGGACCGGACACGAGGTGGCGTCCTTCAGTGAGTGCTGCCGTGTGCAGCACAGCCCAGGACGTCATCACGCTTCGGCCACACTGACCTTTGCGCGGGGCCGGGAGAGAGCCTGTGTGGGGGCGATTAGGAGCTGGCTGCGGGGGGTTGGGGGGGCGGTACCAGGACCATGCCCGGCCTCTGTGGACATCCACAGGCAGGCTGCCATCCGGACCAGCAGCACTGTGGCAGGTACAGGCGTGGCTGGAAGAACTCAGCTCCACATTCCCAAAGGAAAGGAAACTGCTTGGGAGAGGACTGTCTGGCTGCACCCCCACCCCCGGCGGCCGCAGGGGGGCTAATGCATCTCCTGTGCCTTAAACCAGCTCAAACTGCCACCGCCACATGTGGTCAGTGGCCACCATGTGGGCTGCACACAGTCCCGTCCGCCTTTGCCGCCCAGGCCTGACGTCCCAGCCCCCCAGGAAGGGCTGTAACCAGGACCAAGGCCACCCCGCCCCCGAAATGAATCACTCCAGACAACAGTGCTTTTCCAATTATAACTTTTTCTTTTCTTTTCTTTTTTTATGAAAAATCACACAGAATTCGCCAACAAACAAAATTCCAAAAGAAACTTAAAAAAAAAAAAGAAAAACAATAATTCCCCCCAAAAACAAAACCAAAGTCTGGCTTTTCCTTCCCTTAAGATTGTCTGGACGAGGCCTCCATCCCCAGAAAGGTGGGGGCTGGTAAGTGCTTTCGTGGGCGGGGGCCGCAGACAGGCCTGTGCCTCGGCCTCCCTCCTCCTCGTGCTGGGGGCAAGTACAGTACACGTGGCCAGGGGCGGGGTGTGCTTGGGACAAGGAGGGCCGTGAAGCTGGGTGCTAGACACTCACAATCTAACAGGAAATAAAAAATAATATTCTGCACGTCAGAAGGTGTTCGCTTTTTTTTTTATAGTTTCATAGCTATTTTTTCACAGTTTTAAAAAGTTTATATTTATATATATTTATATATATTTATCTTTATATATATAATTAAAAAGTTGACTCCATTTAAAGGCGTATGATACAGGGGAAGAGTCTCTTGGTACAATAAAACTGTACAGGTTAAGAACTGCCCTCCTGGTGGCCCGTGGGCGGGCGGCTGCGTGTGGCCGTGAGATCAGCACCATAGGGGAGTCTGTAGTGTGAGGGTTTGGCCAGGCGGGGCAGGCCCTTGCTGGGGCCTCAGGGCACACGGCCCCTCCACCTGTCCAGCTCTCGGGGTTCCACTCTCACCTGGTCTGTCCCCAAGTCCGGCCATCCTGAAAGGGCGGAGGCCAGACCCCTGGCAGGTGCCCAGGGCAAACCTGGTTGGTGCAGCGGGTGGGCATGGAATCACCCCCATGACGGAAGGAGGCTTGAGGTGGGCTCCATGCTGAGGGGGGCCAGGCACTGGGCCCCAGGGAGGATGCACAATGGTGGGACTCCCAGGGTGAGCCTCCGTTTGGGTCCTCAGAAACCCTTCCCACCAAATCCCCCATCAGCGTCAGCCTGGGGGTGCTGGTCCGGGGTTGGGGGCTGACCCGACCAAGTGCTTACAAGGTGCTGGAGGGAGGCCTCTGAGGGGGCGGGGCAGAGCCATACCCTGATAGCTGAGAGGAGCCCCTGTCTCGATGGGGCGCTGCGGGGTTCGGGGGGGGGGCTGGAGACGTGTACACGTGTGTACACACGTGCATGCATACGGGCGCACACGTGTACACACTCACTCATGCGCCAGGGCATCCACGAGCACACTGCATGCACACAACCAACGCACGTGGCCCCTGGCCGTGGCAGTGATGGTGAGGGGCCTGCTGGCCCTCAGGGCGCAAGGCAGCTGGTGGGGCGCCGGGCACGGGCATTCAGCAGAGCACGGGCACACCATCGGTGGAGAAGATCATGCCTGTGGTGGGCTCGTACGTGCCCGCGAGGTAGTACAGGCCCTCGCTGTCCTGGTACTTCTTGGTCTTGAGCATCTGCTCGTACTGCTCCAGGCCCACCACCAGGCACTTGTGCGACACTGTCTGCACGTCATTCTCGTCCACGTGCGAGGACTGGTACAGGGCACGCTGTGGGCACGGCGGGTGGGCAGTGTCAGGGCAGGGGAGGGCAGGGGCGCCCCCCAACACAAGGACCAGAGAAAATCCTGTGGGTGCGTACCCACAGACAGAGACACCCCCAGGACGCTGAGAGACAGAGACCCCCCCAAAGGAACTAAGGACGAGGATGCACAGAGGCCGGAAGCGACGGGAACAGAGCTGCCACCAGGGAGACAGGGACCAGGAAAGGGCAGCTGGGTCAGAGGAGCGGAGCGAAGCCAGCCCCTCCCAGGGCTCCGGGAAGGGCCGCCTCCGCCCTCCTACCTCCATGAAGTCCTTCCTCTGGCTGGAGGCCCGCAGGGCTGCAGGGAGGCTGCGGCCGGACTTCTGGTCCCAGAGCTGTGTGCGCAGTGAGGGGCAGGGGTGAGCCACCTCCGGGCCTCTGGGCCCAGCCGGCGCCGGTGGGCTCTGGCTCTGCCCACCCCGGCCCCCCGGGGCACCTGCCCGCGGCTCACCTGGCCCTCGTGCAGGCGCTTGCCCGGGCTGGTCTCCTCGGGGTGGTAGAACCACTTGACCTTCACCACCATGTTGCTGCCCCACGACTCCCACATGCTCTGGATGCGGCCGATGTAGGGCAGGTTGGGCCGGCCGGCCGACAGGAAGACGGCGCAGTCCCCGATGCGGATCATCTCCTTGCCGCGCACGATGGCCTTGTAGAAGAGCTTGCGGGCCTTACCCTTCATGCCACGGCGCTGGGGGACGGGGGGCGGGGGTCAGGCACAGGCATGCACCACCAGGTCCCTGCCCGGGCAGCTGCTGCCACCCAGAACCCCTTTCCTGAACCCTGGGGGACCTGAAGGGGGGGCAGGAGGGGGAGCCAGGGAAGAGCCCCTCTTGCATCCCTTTGGCACTGAGCCTCCAGAAGGAATCCAGCTCAACGACAGGCCCTGCAGCTAGGAGACTTCCCACACGCTGATGCCAGGTTAGCTTAAGACGCCCTAAGGGGCCCACAGACACCTCACACCCACTGTGAGCATGGCCCTGGGCCTCTCGCTGGGTCCCGACACTGGCCTCCTAGGCCAAACCAGTTCCCTCTCTGCCACCCCCCACCCTGTCCGCACAGGCCAGTGAGGTCCCGGAGGCCAAGGGGTCCTCGACAGCCTTACACCTCTGACACATCCCTGGGGCCACAACAGCTCTCCAGTGAGATGGCCTCAATCGACAAGCCACAGGCCGCGTGGACTCAGCCCCGCAAGTGGCCCAGGCAGGGATGAGGGAGCCGAGGGTGTGAACCCCGGCACGGCCCACTCTCCCTGCGGAGGAGGCCACCTCGGTCCGAGTCAGGAGCCTGCAGGACCGGCGAGGGGCCTGCGGCCGAGGGGTGTGTATTCACTCAGCCGGCACTTCGCGCGGCCTCCCCGGGGCCTCCTCAGCCTTCCCGCGGCCTCCCCGGCCTTCCCGCGGCCTCCTCGGCCTTCCCTGGGCTGCGGCTAGGTCTGACATTTCCGTCAGCAGTCTCTTTTCTACCTTGAACTCACTGGCTTCCCGGAAGCAACGCACTTTTTAATGTCCATGTCACTCATTTCTTATATATCCTGTGAACTGCTAAAATTCTTTCCAGTCAAGGCGCGGTGTCAACAGGCTCCGGGGGGGTCTAGGGTCCCCAAACTGACTCTTTGGCGGCAGTCACTTTTTGGGGCGTCGAGCCTTTCTGACATGCCCCTGGTTCACCAGGCTTCCTGTGAGGCTGAATCCACCCCGGGATAGGACAGGATTCCCCCTGGCCAGTCCAAACACCCAAGTCAAACACTCCACCCACTCTGGCTTGAGCCCGGAGAGCAAGGCTCTTCCTTTCTACTACCATTTCTGAGCCGGCAGAATGGAAGCTGCTAGGGCTTCGTGTCAAAGAGGGGACGGTACTATTGCAGGAAAGTCCAGCGCACAAAGGAGGGAGACAGGATCACAGGACACAGACCACACACGGGGGTCTGAGGCAGCCTGACTCCCCAGCACCCAGCTCGACCTGAAGCCTGGCCCTGATTTTTCTGTTAACAAGTCAGCACGTTCGGCCCTGCGCTTAAGTGGACTGCCGTTAGGTTTCTGCCCCGGGTAGCTGTACGAACCCTCCCTCACGCTGGCACTGACACCAGAACCTGCAAATGGCTGAAGCCGGAGCAACGAAAGCGTCACGAGCAGGTGCAGGTCAGCAAGGACGTGACAGCTGTCCTTGGCTCAGAGGGCTCCCTCCTGGCTATCCACACTCAGTGAAGCACCTGCTGGGATCCAGACTCGGGGGGCTGGTCTGGAAGGCCTGGACACCGTCTGTAGCCTGCAGGGATGTGGCTACGAGGTCTGTGTGTTCAGCCTAGCGCCCGAGAGGTTTAGGTTCCCGGCAGGGTCAGGCAATTCTAAAGAGCCCTGGAAGTGCATCCTGGGGAAGACTGACTTGGCCTCTCCACTTGGGGTTCTAACTGCCCCTGAGTGGGCAGGAAAAGCCCTAGCAAGCGACTAAACACACAGAAAAAAAAATCTGAATTCAAACAATTTCCTGGCCTTACTGACTGACTTGTTGGACACCAACTTGATGCAAATATTCCAGAAACACCCCAAGCTCTTCAGAGGGGCACTGCAGTCCACCTGCCAGTGCTAAACCTGCCCCAGTGGGACCTGGTCCCCACACCCCCGCTTCTCAGGAGGGCGTGTTGCTCAGGCGGCCACGTGCTCATACACACGCGGGTGCCCCACCGTGTGCTGCGTCCTCGCGCGAGGGCGTCGACCGCCCCCGGTGGCCCCACAGTGGCCCGGGGGTGCCTTCTGGACAACCACGGGTCCAGACCTGGCCAGGGACCTGCCTTTGGCCGCATGCCCAGCTCAGGTGAGGGCACCGGGTCCCGTGCGGCCCTGACAGGCCTGCGAACCCGGCAGGTGGAGCCTGAGCCGCCCCGCTGCAGGCAGCGGGCGCAGAGTGAGGCCCTGCAGCGACAGGCTGCGTGGCCGAGCCCTGCGGCGGCCGGCGCCGGAGGAGCCGTGTGGCCCACACGTCCCTGCGACGGCTCCACCCCTCGTCCTGGGGCCTCTACACACGCGCTCGGGGCGGCTCCACCCGGGGTCTTGGGAGCGGAGACCTGGGGCGCCCTCGGACGAGGGGAGACCCCTGCTCTGCAACCCCACCCCGCTAGGGCGGGGCTGCGGGGAGAGCCCGAAGGCGCCCCGCAGGGAAAGGAGGCGGCAGCGGCCAGCCTGCAGGAGGGAGACCAGGTCCCCAGGCCCCGCCCGGCTACCTGGGTGGGTTTGCCGAACCACTTCCAGAGCTGCCGGGCGGGCAGGAAGGCGGCGATCTTGGGCCGGTTCTCCACCGACGGCAGGCGCTGCCTCTTGGCCAGCTCCTTGGTGGTGGGGAGGTGGACGCCCTCTCTCTTCTTGGGCCGGCTCTTGGCCCCGGCACCCACCTGAGCCTTGGGCTGCAG